AAACCACAATGAGATATCACCGCACAGCTGTCAGAATGGCCATCATCAATAAATCAACAAACGACAGGTGTTGGAGAGGATGTAGAGAAAAGGGAACCCTCATGCACTCTTGGTAGGATTGCAAATTGGTGCACCCATTATGGAAATCTGTTTGAAATTTCCTCAAAAAATTTAAAGTAGAACTACCTTATGACCCAGCAATTTTTCTTCTGGGTATTTATTCGAAAAAAAACCCCCACAAAACTAATTAAAAAAGATATATGCACCCCTATGTTCACTGCTGAGCTATTTTCAATAGCCAAGATATGGAAGGAACCTAAGTGCCCATCAATAGACAAGTGGATAAAGAAGTGGTACACATATACAGTGGAATGTTACTCAGTCATAAAAATAATGAAATCTTATCATTTGCTACTACATGGATGGACATAGAGGGTATTGTACTAAGTGAAATAAGTCAGAGAAAGACAATTACCACATGACCTCACTTATATGCAGAATCTAAAGAACAAAATAAACAAAAATAGAAACAGATTCATAGATATGCAGAACAAACTGATAGTTTCTAGATGGGAATGGGGTTAGGTGAAAAAGGTGAAGAGATTAAGAAGTACAAATCAGTAGTTACAAAATAGCCAAGGAGATGTAAGGTACAGCATAGGGAATACAGTCAATAAAACTGTAAAACTACATATAATGCTAGGTGGTTACTAGACTACTCAGGGGGATCACTTCTTAAATTATATAAATGTCTAACCACTATGCTGTATACCTGAAAGTAACATAAATAACACTGAATGTCAATTATAATTGAAAAAATAATAAAATAAAATATGAGAATGATGTTTTACCAAATAGAGAATACCAATACAGAAATAAGAAGGATCCAAATAGATATGTTAAGAATTGAAAAGTAAAATAACTGAAATAAAAATTTCACTAGAGGGTTTCAACAGATTTGAGCAAAAAGAAGGAAGAATTAGTGACCTTAAAAGATAGGTTAATTAAGATTATACAGTCTGATGAACGAAAAGAAAAAAGAATGAGGAAAATGAGCAGAGACAAATGCACCTGTGGGATGCCATGAAATTTACCAACATATGCATATTGGATTTCTGAAAGGAGAAAGTGAAAGGGACAAACTATTTTAAGAAATAATTGCTAAATTTTTTCCAATTTGATGAAAAACATTAATTTATATATCCAAGAAGCTCAACAAACTCCAAGTTGGATAAACTCAGAGATGACACATAATAACCAAAACTACAAAGAGAGGATCTTGAAATCAGTAAGACAGGAGCGACTCATAATATACAAGGGATTGTCAATAAGATTTACAGCTTATTTATCATCAAAAACCAATGAGGATAAAAGGCAGTGGTATTACATATTCAAAGTGCTGGGAAAAAACCCACTGTCAACCAAGAATTCTAAAGCAAGCAAAATGAGTTTATTACTAACAGACCTGCCCTATAAGAAATGCTAAAAGGAGTTCTTCAAGCAAATCAAATCCATATGACTAATGAGCGCTAGTGTAAAGGTAACTAGTAAAGGTAATTACAAAAGAAAGTATAAACATTTTTTTGTTGTATCTAATTTTTTTCACTCCTAAATAAAAAGATAGCTGCATAAAGCAATAATTATAACTCTATGTTCATGGGTACATGGTGTATAAAGATGCAATTTATGACAGTAATAGCATATTGAAGAAAGGGAATGGAACTATATAGGAGCAAAGTTCTTATACACTATTGAAATTGTTGATATTAATCTGAATTAAAATGTTATAAATTAAGATATTAATGTTAATCTCTAGGACAATCACTAAGAAAATAACTCAAATATATATAGAAAAGAAAGGAATAGAACAAGACACTAGAAAATAACTAGACATTAGAAAATAAACACAAAAAAGGGCAGTAATGGAAGAATTGAGGAACAAAAAAGAAATAAGACAGAGAAAACAAACAGAAAAATGGACAATGTAAACCTTACTTTGTCAGTTATTACATTAAGTATAAATGGATTAAATTCTTCAATTTAACTGGCAGAATGGATAAAAATCTATAATCCTACTATATGCTGTTTACAAGACACACTTTGGATTCAAGACACAAATGCATTGAAAATAAAAGGATAGAAAAAGACATACCATGAAGACATTACCCAAATAAGAAACTGAATGGCTATACTAATCAGACAAAATAGATTTTAAGACAAAAGTTGTTACTAGAGATATAGAAGGGGCATTTTATGATAATAAAAGCATTAATCTGTCAAGAAGATATAACAGTTATAAAAATATATGCACCTCTGTCTATGGCTACGCCACCCTGAACAAGCCTGATCCCATCCGATCTCAGAAGCTAAGCAGGGTTGGGCCTGGTTAGTACTTGGATGGGAGACCACCTAGGAAGACCGGGTGCTATAGGCATAAAAAATAAAACATAAGGGATTGTAAATTGACAAGGTCCTTGCAATCTATGAGGTCGACTAAGGGTTGCCTCACCTACACACACACACACACACACACCCCTAACAGAGACCAAAAATACATGAAGGAAAAATTGACTGAACTAAAGGAAGAAACAAATTCAGTTCTCCACTTTCAATAACGGATAGGATAACAATAAGGAAATACAGATTCCATATTTCAAACTTCACTAAAAATGCCTTGAAAAAAAGTATGTGCATATATAGCAAAATGTTCATCATTAAATCTGGGTGATAAACATGGGTGTTAAGATACTAACTGCTCTAATTTTGTGTACATATGAAAATTTTCACAAAAAATTTTAACATAAAAAAGGAAAAATATTTACTATTTTTATTCTTGTAACCACATTAACTTGATTATTGTAGCACTGTAGTATACTTAAATATCTTAAAAGGCTAATTTCTTTTCATTTACTTTTTCTATTCTATGACTCTTTAAACTAATCATACCTGTTTACTCTTCTAAATTAATTTTAGAATGAGTTCCCTACAAAATTCTATTAGTATTTTTAACTGGGATAGTGTTAAACATATACATTTAATTAATGACCCTTTACAACACTCATTCTTTGTAACCAGGCACATGGTATACCTCTATGTATTCATGTCTTCTTTTATGTTCCTCAGCAAAGTTTTAAAGTTTTCTTCATGTAGGTTCCACACATAATCTTAAGATTATTCATGAGTATTTTATACAATTGTTATTATCAATAGAATTTTTTCCTCTGTGTATTATGGTTATTACCAATATATAACAATTCTTGATTTTTGGATATCTGGTTTATATTCAGTGATTACCCATTTTATTGAATTCTTACATGTTTTAAGAGTTTTTCAGTTGATTCTCTTACATTTTCTAATTGTAAGAGAATTCTAATTATGATTTTTTTAATCCTATCATTTCTTTCACTTGTCAAATACTTATTAAATATCTCACATGTGCCAGTCACTATGCAAGGTGCTACACATACAATGAAAGACATAAATAAAAGGATTCCCACCCGTAGGGAGCCTAATATGATAGTTTGTTCTCTTAATTTCTAATAGTTATAGTTTTTATTTCTGCTTCATTCCTAACTTTGCTGTCTGGAACTTCTAGAACAATGCTAAATAATAGCACTGATAATGAATATATTTGTCTTACTACTTATTTTAATAGGAATACCTTTCGTAGAATGTCTCTGTCTTTGTATGGGCAGTGAATACACAATGCGATATATGTATGACTTACTGTTAAACTGTACACTTGAAACTTATTAGATTTTGTTAATGTCACCATAATAAAAATAAAGAAATAATTAAATTGAACTACATCAATCTAAAAATTTTTGCACAACACAGGAAATGATCGACAAAACAGAAAGACAACCTACTAATTGGAAGAAGCTATTTATTAATGATAATCTGATAAGGGGTTAATATTCAAAACATATAAAGTACTCATACAGCTCAACACCAAAAAATCAAATAATCCAATTAAATAATGGGTAAAGACCTGAATACACCTTTCCTCATAGTTTTCTTTTCTTTGTTATCCAGGCTCATACTTTCTACACTTCACATATTCTGAATTGAATGCTCTCAGCTATACATGTAGTAAGTTACATCTTAAATGTATCTCTTTCTTAGTCAGAGTTTCCAGATGAACAGATTTAAAACAACCAACCATCATTCTATATCTGAATACGTTTCTCCTTTACTACCCAACATTTTGAAATTTGTGACTGTCATTTTTTACCAATTTATTGCCAGTGCTAGCTACATAGTTACTGTTATAGATAATCTACAATGTTATAGATATTGGATGTTTATAATACTATATATCTAATAAGTACTTTTTGAGTAGATGAATAAATGCCACTGTTATTTTAATTTGAAGATTACAATAATTTAAACTTCAAAACTGCATTGATGTGAAGAGATAAAGAAACGAGGAGCTGAAGTGGTATTCACTTGAAGTTTCTCTTTGAGGGGAGTGGCGATGAACAGTACATAGCCCTGGTTTAGAACTCTAAAATATGCTTCTCTGTGTTGAAACAAAATCAATAAGGTATGGGCTTAAGCTAATGTCCTCAGAATGAGGAGTGAAGCCCTTGCCCTCATCTGTCTCAATACACAAATGAAGAAAAAGTCATACTCATAAGTAATCAACTGAGGGGTAACTTTCTTTTATCACACAGGCAGATGCCTCCATTGGGAATTGTATTTATGTTCTGTGGCTCTGAAATGTCATCAAAATAAATTTTATAGCATAAAATTCAAATTAATAGGCATTTCTTGTTTATTAAGAAATAGGCGTATCGGTGACTAAAATGATAAAAATATATAATTTATGGCTCAAAATAATTTTTACATTTATTAGAAGGAAGAAGTTTAGAATTTTAAATGTTCTGAAACAAATATTGAATTTAGTATATATAAATCTCAAATATCAGCAGAGTCAAATGGGGAGAGTTTTTGTCAGTCACAGGATGCATCTTCTACTTGTGGCTTATCGATACAACCTAATTCTGGATGATCAGAGGGTGTCCATTTTGACCATTGTGGAGGGGGCCAGGATAGAAGTATGGCCTCAGAGCCTCTCTGAAGCACTCTCTGTAGGTGTAGATGTGGGTCAGGCTGGTCACATTATAAAAGGAGACCCTCCCAGCTTCATAGTCCAGGAATATTCCAACAATCTCAGGAGACTCTTCAAGATGGAGTGGCACCCGTGGATTTGCAAGGGCCTGGTAGTCATTTTTTTTATTTAAGCATAAGGTCCAGAACCCAACCTCTGGGGACAGCTGGATTTCCCCCTGTCTACAGACAGAATCCTTACAAATGCCTAAGGTCCATTTTATTTTCTCTTTCACACTCACTTCCCAGTAGTGTTTACCTTTGAAGAAAATCTGCTGACCCAATACACACACCAGGGTATCAAACCGCTGCCTGCACTTGGGCAGATCCTGGAAGACTTCCCCTCCTCTCACACTTTTGTTGTCCTTTGCAATCTGGAGATATGGGTGAGCTGTTTTTCGGTCCAGAGTAACGCCCTCTGTGGAAGCACATTTTGCCAGTTTGGGTCATGATTAACAACAAGCAACAGTAATTTGCAGAATACGCAGAGCCCTCCCAATCTCAGATCTTCCTCTAGCTTTCCTCAGGGAGAAGATGCTTCTGCACCTCAGGTCACCCTTCTCATACCACCTCTATTCACCAACTCAAGCACCTGAAACTTGATAAGGAGGATTTGTCCAGAAAGTAAAAAATGAATATCTGAACATACAGATTTGTTCTAGTTAAAATACTTTTCGAATATAGCTAATATTACTTTCAATACCTACTATGTGCCTGGTGATGTTTAAAGCACACTTATAAATATTTAATTTATAAGCAATGGAAAGGAGAATTATCTTATTTTGTAATTGAGACAACAGAAGTTTAGGGAAGCTTGTCCAATTGTAATTACTAACATCTATCAGTGTTTGGATTCACTCCCATATCTCTCTGATTCAATCTATGACTTAAGAATAAAAATCATTATATATTTTACATTGAATATCAGCATTTTATAAATTTAAAATCTGCCTTAAATCACTTGATGGAATTTAACCAAATTTACTGAATTATTTTTCCTAAAAATGCTTTCATATTATTCAAATTTATAGATACATTACTTCAAAAATTATTTTTAAAGTGTTAAAAGTATATAAACACATGAATCAGAGCTAAAAGTGATCTAGATATTTACCTAGTCACACAGGATTCTATTAATATAAGCTAAGGTATTTCTCCTGGGAGTAAGTTTTCATAGTAGTAAAAGTAAATTTTAGTTGTATTAATGTAAACACAAACTAAAAAATCCATTACTATTAAAGTAAAGTGAAAATAAATAAAGACTGTTATATGTTAGCACTGTAAATACAGAAATATGTGCCTCGAAGCCATTGCATTTCGCTGGCTCATGGGCATTTTCTCAAAGCAGAGCATGGCATATACACTGTACTCGATTCAACTGGAAACTATGCTTATCAGGTTGTCTAATGAAGGTAGATTTTATGCCAATTAGTTATATGACCTGGGAGAAGCCTCTTAAGGATACTTATCCTATATTTGTTTATAAAACAGTATATTAATACCTGGGCTTTTTTCCTCAGTGTATTTGTGGGAATCAAATAAAGATACTATATTTAAAATAATTAATGCAAAGCTGAAAAAATGTAACACAAACTTTTTATTTCTACTGTCAAACAGAGGCCAAAAATTTGACAATTTTTTAGAAGTCAAAGCTAACCTAAAGGAAAAAATAGCTTCAATTTGACAAGTCAAATGAGGAACACCTGATTGTGACTCATATACAATTTTTTGTCATTGTATCACTGGCCTAACATGCATGAGTGTCAACTGCCTTTATTTCACTTTCTCTCAGCTAGAAGGCCTGGGGTCAACCCTGGGCAACCCTGACTCTAATACATGTCAGCTATGTGACATATCAGGTAAGTCATGGTCTCACAGAACCATTGCTTTTTTTCATTTGATAAAAGAAAGGGGAAAGGTTATGGGACAAACACATGACATCTTAGCTAAGGAAGCCCCATCAGGCAAATTCACCTGGACCTACTACAAATGCTGGTCTTTTCTCTTTTCTGCTTGCTTTCTCATTCCATTCTAGTTAGGCGTCAGATCTGTCTGCTGAATCTGTAGTCTTTCTCTGCAGGCACACTCAAGGGCTGCACTTAGGACCTAAATCCCTGGCTGACTCTGAATTTCTTCCACATTATCTGAGCTATTCCCAGGATCTGGCCTCGGGCTGACCTCTGTTTCTAATTTGACTCTACAGTCTCAATGCCAACATACAAAAATAATCTTATCCTGAAATCTCAGAATTCTTGGACTTGATGTTAGAGATAATAATACCACTTCATTTTTTTTTATCAAGATTATTTTAATATACTTGAAACCATAGATGAAAAGACTTTGAAAGATATTAAGAATATGCAAATTAGCAATTAAATTAGTTAAAATTTTAGTTATAAACTACTCAATAAAGAGCATAATAAAATCGGAGGTTTGGAAAGAAAAAAGGGATGTGTGTGTGTGTGTGTATGTGTGTGTGTGTGCGTGTGTGTTGCAGGTGCCCTGCTCTAGTGTTCCATTGTGCGAGTTAAAACTAAGAATCAATATCCAAATACTCTTGTCTTTAGTTACCTGCATAACACCGAGCAAGTTTCAATCCTAAAAAAAAAAGTTATAGATATTACACCTTCAAACCAAGATTTAGCAATGAATAAAACAGGAAATAGGTGAGGGGTCAAAAGGCCACCAAGTGGAGACACCTGAGGTGGCCATTTTCATCACTTACCTTCTTCTCCCAGGAGCTTTCTTTTTTCTGAAAGAACGAGATGCAGTGAGAGTTTGCTGTGAAACACACTTACCTACCTATGCTCACATAAAACCACCATTTACCAAGTTCTTCATGAAGCTTTCCTGAAATACAAAGCAGAGACAAATCCTTGTGAGTTGTTTAGAGTTGCTAACTAGGCTCGCTTCCTGATGTTGTCACATGTAATTAATTGGAGCAAAAAAATCCCCCAAAACAAACAAACAAAAAACAATGGGTGACATCAGAAACATGGCAGAGAGAGATGTCTCCAGATCTTTCCCCTTGAAACAACAAGCTGAATATCTAAAACTTAACAAAAAACACCCAAACTGCACACCAGTACGTCTGAGTGTGGGATCTGCGCATAAAAACTACCACAGGACATAACCCCAGGTGTTGGGTGGTGGACTGGGAGAAACAAAGAAACTGCCTTTTATAGCTGGAGCTCCCTGCAGGAGGAGGGAGAGGGGAAAAGGTATGGCAAATTCCCTGAATAGTCCTGCCTGGGAGAGCTGTGAGCTCCACGTGGCAGGTGGCAGTGCCCAGACATCAGGACAAAAAGCAGAGAAGTGGGACAGCAGAGAAACAACAGTTGATTATTACCAGCCACAGTTGCAAAACTGAGCTGAGCCACAGCCCCCACTCCCACCCCAGAAAGTTCCACCTCTCCACCCTCCCACATATCCTCAGAGACTGAAAACCACGGAGCCCCAGGGGAATCAGAGTAAAAGCTACCGAAATTGTTGCTAACACTGACAGGAAATGAAAGCGAGGGTAGTGAGCATTGTTAAACATCTATAAGGGGAGATAAAGACATTATTAAGGCTTTATGTAAAACAGGGATCCAAGAGGCATAGAACCACCTACTGTAAACCAAAAGAAAAACGCCTTCTTTGCAACAGCTAGAGAGACTCTTATATAATAAACCTTTCTGGAAGAAAAGCAGAATACACTTCCATTGAATGCCCAGGAAGAGAAATAGTCCATTAAACACCATGAACAACTAAGGTGACAAGGCAGTGCAAAAAGGAAGAGAAAAATCTCCAGAAAATAAGCTTACAGACATAGAAATATGTGACTTAAATGACAGAGAATTCAGGATGGTATTTCTTAAAAAACTTAATGAGATCCAAAACGAATCATTACAACAATTTCAGGAACTGAAAAAAACAACTAGATGAGCAGAATGAGTTCTTAGCAAGGAGATTGAAACCTTCAAAAAACCGAATAGAAACACACATACAAGAAGAAAAAAAATGACATAGATGACAGAGGTTCTGTTCATCAATCTGGTGACCAAAGCAAAGTTGTGACAGAAATAAGGAACAGCAGAAAGAAAAAATCACTTGAGATCTAAAGGAACAAGCCATACAACTAGGCAGAAATCCAAGAAAGCACCCTGCAACAGCAGAAGGTAGGATGGGGTGAGGACACGAGGCTGCCTGGTCTCGAGCAGCTGTGTGAGATAGAGGCTGTGGCAATGGCAGTGGCAGAAGACTCTTAAAGGAGCTGCATCATGGGTGGATTTTCTCGGTGATGGACTTGTTCACTCCGAGCACCAGTGCTGATTCGGCTGCACACAGAGGACACCAGAGACTTATAGGAGACATTATTGGAGTGAGGGCCCAGGTGAGACTCACCCTGTACAGAAGTGCTGGAAGTATCCATTGTTCCTTGTTGAGCTCTCCCCTCTCCCAGTGAGGGGACACAGCACCACCATAGCCATGAAGTCATCAAATTGGATAACAGAGGTCACTCCAACCAGAGGATTCCCTAAAACATTGCCTCCCCCAACTTACGGCCTCACTGAAGCCACATCCAGGTATAGCCTCAGCAGGTCAGGTGCTCCTTGCTGAGCAGCACCTAGACTCACACTGGAAGCAGCTGGCATCAGTTTCTGGTATGGCCTTTTGAGGCAACTACAAGCACAGCATCTGTGGGTTGCTTGTTGAATCTTAACAGGTGGTCCAGGACAGATAGAGGCTTGGGCTAAATTTGGCCTGCAGCTGAACCCCTCTCAGGACTGTGC